AAAAAACATAATTTATAAAAAGTCCTATTAGTATTGCAAATAGCTGAAAATTGATAATGATTCGCGATATTTATTAAATATTCCAATAAAATTACCGTTACGTTCATGTCACATGTCATACTCGTGGAAAATCCAATAGTGGATGTGTGTAATGCAATTATCAGTTGGATATCGAGGGCAGCACGATCATATGTTCGATAATATCCACTTATCAAGTATATACAAATAACTCTACATACAACAAAACTCATCATTACCAACTCCCAGCCTATCCTCTTTCACACAGTCTATTCAAACTTTTGTCCGCGACTGCGTTCATAGCCTAATTGTTCTTCCAGAATAATGTGTAAATATGTTCTACATCTACGCCCAATTGCTACAAGATTCGTTGAACCGTTTTAGAGATACCTTCTAACAAACGTCCACTCGTCTATCTAAACATCCGCTTTTATAACATTACTAGTGTCCTGCGACTCCTTACGCGAGGGATTAAAAAAAACTTAATAGTAGTCTATGTTTCCTTCCAGACGATGTTCTACAGGTATGACAAATTTTATCAAAATTCGTAGAGCCATTTTGTAGATACATTCAAACAAACATCCATCCATTCATCTAAACTTTTGCATTTATAATATTAGTACGATTAGTCAATTACATTCATTCTTATTACTGTTTTGTTTTTTTACCTGCAAAATTCTACGCTTCTTGCAAATGCATTCCTCTCAATAAATCCCTCGAAAATTTACAGACATGTTAATAGAAAATCCAAATGGAAAAGTACTATTTAATGAAATTCAGATAAGTAAACAAGATTAGTAAAGGTACATTAAAGGTAATGTGAATGCCGTTCCGATGAGAGATATGTTTGCAACTTCGCTTCATTTATTTTACTCTTCGTAGTTTAAAATGAAATTCTTTAAATAGAAAATATTTTATTATGGTTTATTTGCAAGGCTGCTGTCCGGATGGTTATATAAAAGAAGGTTTTGTCGCGCTATTACTCTAGCATTTAAAACATCCTCGGGGAATGTTTAATATTAACTCGGCGTTGTCGCAACTCCGGAAAAAAATATAGTAAAACTTTAGTGACATTTTACTGCAAGTTATTTTTGTAATATTTACAAAGCGATTTTAGATGAAAAGTAAGCTTCAAATATTTTACGTACAAATTGTGGATAGCATTTGCTTTTATAGAGTGCTTTAAAGAGTTATTTTTTTAGAATTATTGATAGCCGGTGATTTGTAAAGTCAGATTTATTTTGTTTATGGAATGAAGTCATTGTGACTCAGGGTAGGCTCCGAGCCCCTCGGTGGGGATGTATAGTGAGCTGATTATGACGATGAAGTCATTGGCCATTTTTTTTCTTTACCTTGTGTTTTACTTTTTTCTATAATAGTCTACCCGTGGGTTTCTGACACCTTATAATCTCTATTAAAATATATTGTCATCCCTGTCATTATCTTTGATAAAATAGAGATGACAATATGTTTTAACCACGGATATTGGTCTTAGAAACTCACGGTAAATCTTCTAATCTTTGCGTACGTAATTTTGGTACATATGTATGTTTATGTACATCTAGTTAAGTTATATAACTAATATTAAGTAGTGATACTAAAACTATTCCGACACGTGTTCAAAATATTGAATGGATTCTATTTTATATGCATTAGTGTGACTGTCGTTGTGTTATTATGTCATAGTTATTATAACGGTGAGTTTCCATTGTGGTAACATCTGTATAAAAATGTATCTCAATTTTATCAAAGAGAATTAAGGGGATGAGTTTCGACAATGGAAACATACAATACACATACGAAAACCCATCTTACTGTGAAATCCATTAGTATGAATTATGTTCAAATAAACAAATAATTTAAATCAATTACTGAAATCGAAATACTGTCAATCAAGATTAACCTTTTTTAATTAACCTTCTACTTTAACCTTGGCACTTGTACGTCTAAAGTTTTGTTTGAATCACACCAACTTCAATTATGCTGCTGATTTTATATTCACAAGTTGCGAAAAGGGTAGCGTTCGTTCGTTACCTTATTTATACTTTAAATACGTTAAAATATATTTTGCAATAAAGTTAATGAACAGAAATTTTAATGTTTCATATATATAAGCTAATATAAGCTAATACTTGCTCTATAACTTAATCCACTCTTCAATAAAACTTAATAAGGTAAAAGCGGCCTTGATACATTAGGCTGATTAAATAAGCTTATATATTAAATTCCGTTCCATGAAACATAGGCGACCAACGCTATTATTCATAGATCGTTGAATTTAACTTAATACCACTAATCGTGGATTTCTGATACCAAAAACCCTTTTTGAAACGATATTTGGGAATGACCATATCTCTTACGCAGATATTTTGGTCTTAGAAATTAACGTTAAATACTCGTAATAATAAAAGCGTCGGTGGCTCAGGGGTCAAGCACTTGACTTGCAGTCTGTACGTCCTGGGTTCGAATCCCGCCATGTACCAATGTGTTTTTCGATTTCCGATTTACGTATGTACATTTATCCGACGTTCTTATGGTGAAGGAAAACATCGTGATGCAACCTGCATATATCTGAGAAGAAATTCAAAGATATGTATAAAGTCAACCAAACCGCACTTGGCCAGCGTGGTTGACTATGGCCTAATCACACTTAACTTAGGGTACTTTGAGCTTATGATAGACTCGTAATATCTTTTGCTTCATCCCCTGCTATGTTTTACGATGACATGGGACTGCGTTATACTCATCAAAGATTTTTTTTTAATTATAACATTTATATTTCTGCAATAAAGTTTTTGAATTTCTCTCTCTCTCTGTTTGTTCTTGCAACAATTCATCTCGTTCTAAATATTCTCCCCCATTTCTTGCGCAAATATACTACACAAAAAAACTTTCTTTAGTCTCCATCCGTAGTAATAATCAAAAGTTATTTAACAATTGCTATCCCAATTAAACGTTTTAAACTGTCAGTCAAGGGTAAACAATTATTTAATTAATACTACCCACATTCAACCATCAATGATGTTACTATGCAAAACTATATTTAAAATCAAGTAGCTTTTTTTATCATAAGGTGGCAAACGAGCGAGCGGCTACCTGAAATAGTTGAAATAGCGAAGTGACCGTTGCCCATAGACATACGCAATTGCATATGCGTTGCCTACCTTTAATCTACGGAGGAGAGGATGCACAGAAAGAAAATATCTTCCTTTCCCATGCATCCTCTCATCCGGAAAGTCCACTTCCACTTCCCATCCTTTTCTTATAAAAAAAGGGGTGGGAAGGGAAAGAGGACTAAATTAGGCCTCGGGGACGCACTCACTCCAATTCGTGCGAAGATGTTAAAGCGGGCTCTACCACTGTTAAAAATGTAGCTATAAATTAAAAAAGGCGTGTAACGAAATTTAATTCATCTTACACTTTAATGATTGTGTAGAATCTAGAAAAGTGGTACTCTTTTAGATTATGTGAGGAGGGCGTCAGATTCCATTTGCAAAATTAAAAATACCTTTTTACAATGTACTTGTGCAGACGTGGATTTTTCTTAAAGAGATGTTTTGAAAACTTCCAGATAATACATATCTTCTTTTTATCTCAAATGTTGATTATTTTCACTTGTATTTTCTATGTACAAAGGCTTTTTTCATTTATAAATTCTTTGATTTTTTTATCCAATAAATATTGTTAAATATTTGGAAAGAGAAGGAAGATTAAAAGGATATTGCGTAGTTTGCAGTTGAAGTTGAAATTTCCTGTCAAGGTTGTCAGGCCTGTTGAGATTTTTCCTTTACTTTACGTCCACCAATTGACCCTGTTCCGTTCTCTTTTCGATGAAGGAGGAAATGAAATTGCTTCTTGTAGCGTTCGCTCGAGCATCCAATACACAAATGTTATTTAGAAAACCGTATTCCTGTTTACAAGTATTGCAATAATAAAAGTAGTTTGTCGATTAAATGTGAAGGATTTCAGAGAGTCTAGCATGAATATTTGCGACACGCACCTTCGTAACCTTATCGACCAAATATTTGTATGAGATTTGTTGATGTATCTTACGCACGGTAGGGGGCGCTGCACACATATTATTACACATTTTGTAGTTGTGAAAACTTTCTCACGAATATTCGTCGTCTTTACTTTACACTATTACAAAAAATAAATGATCTGATATCGTATTCTGTTTGAAAAAATTGAGATATGAAAGGTACTAAAATATATATTTCTAGCTTATATGCATACGGAGTGGTTTGTAAATGTTAATATGTGATATTATGTTGCATTGAAATGTGTAAACCGCTGACTCTTTCACAATACAATTTAGAGGACAATGCACAAGTTGGTGTTGAAATAAAACCACCGACCCCATTAGGAAAGCAATCAACCAGTTGTAGGGCGAGTTACTCGACAAATTGCAACGATCCACATACATTTTATGTGGCTTAAAGTACTTTGATTTAGAATAAATTTACACATTTGTATTTTTAAATATAATTTTGTTACATTTTCGCACAAATCGTAAAACTCTTTGTTATCATGTTGGTAACGGATTTGTTTAAGTTAGTCTCGTTATTACGGGCACACTTTCGTTGTTATCTCTCGTTACGTACCATTTTACTGTTGTGGCGTGGATGTGATATTTTAAATATCTACATATATTTCTACAAGATTAGATTTTTAACGGAAAGTTTCAGCACAACTTTGTTAAACCTACACGAACATTTTTAATGTTACATCATTTAACAGAAACTTTGCAACTTTCGTTTTTAATATTTTAAAATAAATGCAACCTTAGAGAATTTTTATTCAACATTAACTTAACATAAATCACGTCTTATTTTTCTTAGCTGGGGAAAAAAGTGGGGATGGGGAAAGATGATGATTTTATTGGCATCGATTTTAATACATGCCACTTGGGCCATCTTTACCAACTTTAATGAAATGACGAAACATCGGTAGACTTAATTAATTTATTTCCTTGTTCACAGACATCTGTTTCCAAACGTTCTTCAACTACGTTGACATGCGCGCGCTTCTCGAGAACTTTTGCGTGTACCACATAAATGCACCGGGACAAGAGGAGGGTGCGGCTTCGCTGCCTGACGAGTAAGTATTTTTTAATTTTATCTCTTCACATTCAAGTTTTGTTTTAATAACAGATAGCTGAAGTTCTCGACATGAACAAACTATAAAGTTTAAATACTGGCTGATTTATTTCGTTCACTTAGTTATATTGCACTACTTTACTTTTTTTAACAATCGATTAGCGGAACTTTCGCTGGATCCGCTAAATTCCAGCTGGGCATTCGATGTACATAAATATTTGGGATTCTGCTACTACAAGTTAATAGCTGTGCCTCTCAACTCACATAACATGTCTCATTCAAGAAGAATCAGATTGAAGACAACATGTTTTATACAAATGTTTTGGCAGTGAAAACCAGCGGTTAAGGTCGCTGTTGTTCTGGGTATTATTTTGGTTATGTGTTTTTCGCTTGAAGCTTAATCTTGCTAACATTATAATTGCGAATGTTTGGATGGATGGATGTTTGTTTTAAGGTATCTCCAGAATGGATGAACAGATCCCGCTGAAATTTGGCATAGATTAAGAACATATTCTGGAAGAACGTATAGGGTACTTATTTCGTTTTTTTTTACTTCCGCCCGGACGGAGTCGCGGGCAATAGCTAGTTTGTAATAAAATGAAAATCATAGGTATTTGGAGTATTTTGTAATAAAACAAATATTTCTATGATAAACAACACGGTGCCGTCAAACTCCTTTTCAATCAAACTTAATGATAATTTGGCCTTTGCTGAATAAGTATATAACCTTAGTTAAATAAATATTTTGATGGAAAAGTAGAATATTATTCTCAATAACATAAATAATAACCTTTTGTAAATTAATATCATTTGGATTTGGGATTTAATTTGAACGAGGTCAAAGAAAATAAATGTATCGAATAATCAACTTAATAACAAAATTTGTTATAAGACGTCAGTTGCCTGTCTTGTTATTTACTTTTGATTAATTTCGGGAATTTGTTATTAAGGGATGATTTATTTTTTATCTTTACCGTACCGATATTTGATGACGGTTTTTACGAATTTGTCTTATTGAAAGAATTGTGAACAGTGGTAGAGCCCGCTTTAACATCTTCGCACGACTTGTGCCGGGCTCGTACGGTGAAATACCACGACCACACAGAAGACAGACGTGAAGTGGAAGCAATTCCGCGTTTCGTCTGATGAGTGTGCGTCCCGGAGGCCTAATTTAGTTATATTTCCCTTCCCACCCTTTTTCTTATAAGGAAAGGATGGGAAGTGGAAGTTAACTTTCCGAGTGAGTGGATGCATGGAAAGGGAAAATATTTTCTTTATGTGCATCCTCTCCTCCGTCGATTAAAGGTAGGCAAGGCATATGCAATTGCGTATGTCTATGGGCAACGGTCACTTCGCTATTTCAGCAATTTCAGGTGGCTAGTTTGCCACTTTATGATATAAAAAAAAGGAATGATTCTGTATATTCCGTTTTTAAAAAAAAGACCATAGACGACTAAAAATTCCATTTACTTTAAAAAAATCCAATAACATGTAAAATATTTTTAAATGAAATAGCAAACATATCGATTTAATATTAAAACCGTAATCAACGAAAGAATTTGACTTGCTCGAGGAAATGCAATTCACCTTAAGGAATTTTATCGGCGGAAATATTTTTCTCTTAAGAGATATAGACTTTAATTTCATTCCAGTCCGTGCATTCCAGTCTTCATCGTGTAGCTCTTAATTGCATCTTGAAGGAAATAGCTTCCAGCCGATAAATCCAAATACTTTAGTTGTTAAACTTAAATTATCTTTTACGAAGACGTAATTATCATTTTTTTTAAATGTTATAATTTTTTTTAGGTTATAAATACGAAAGGCTGTATAAATAGATGGATGCTAGAAAGTATCTGCAGAACTGAAATTTGACATAGAACATAATCTGGATGTACACATACGCTACTACTAATTAAGTTTTTTTTTTAATTTAACGGAGTCTCGGGCAACAAATTATAAATGTTACTCTATATTATATTCATATTAAGCGTCGTAAATAGCCAATGCTTTGAATTATATATGCGAAGGTTTTGTAAAATATTGATTCAATTGACTACGTACTGGCCTGACAATTCTAGACCAATTTAACAAATTGGTATTTTACTTTCAAACTATCTAAATCAAGTCGAATGCAACTCCAACATAGCCCCTATTGAACTTGCAAGTACTGTTTGCAATCTACATATTCTAGAGAATGTTCTATTTATTCGAGTAGAATGTTTACATCATTACAATGGTTCTGAGATTTTTACTCTACCTAATCCTCCTTTGCATATGCCATTCCGTTGTCTTCCTTTAAAATATGCATGTATTTTTCTTTTAAATCCGGCACATTTGCTTTACCGTTTTAAACGAACTATTTGTAGAATACAATAAATAACAAGCTACTTTATTTTAAACGAAACTAGCTGTCGCCCGCGACTTCGTCTGCGTGGATATATAAAAAAAACTTAATATATAGATAAGTTACTTAAAATGCAGCTCTTTAAGGCATAAATTCGAAAAAAAAGAATAAATAGTATCCTATGTCAGTCTCCTGGCTCTAAGCTACCTCCTCACCAATTTTCAACCATATCGGTAAAGCCGTTCTTGAGTTATAAATAGTGTAACTAACACGACTTTATTTTATATATATATAAGATTAAATCGAATACTTTTAAAATAGTAGTAAAACTACAATTGATTGAGTCTTTCGTGGTGTAGTCTGAACCGGCGAAGTGCGGTCAGTGATGAATGTCAAATTCGGACATATCGTGGGTTTCTGATACCAAAATCTCTATACAAAATATATCCCTGTCTTTTATCTTTAACGAAACAAAGATAACAATATGTGTTAAAAGGGTTAGTGTTGAAGGTACACACGGTGCAGAATAACCGGCCTGAGGAATCGTAAGTGTGAAATCGGAAGGGCAAACTTTAGTAAATGTAGTAAACTCTCACGCTGTACATACACACGATTATGATTGGTTTCTTCTTCTTCTGGTGCCTCTTCAGTCTTGAAGGTTGGCCGCTAACTTGGAATATTTGGTTCTGTCAAGTGCTAGGCGAAACAGTTCCTCTGCTGACCTAATCCCCGTCCACTCCCTAATATTACGTAGCTTTTTTCTACGTCCAGCGCGTTTCTTGCCTTCATTGTCCATCCTTGCCCATCATTATCAGCTGAAGTATCTTACACCTGTCGTGCCGCAGTACATGACCCAAGTATTCCACTTTACGCTTTTTGACGGTCTGCATGAATTTTCGGCTCATAGCCACGCGCTGGAGCACCGTCTCGTTTCTAACTTAATGATTGGTTTAAAAACTAAGTATTACGTCAGTGGAAACTTACGGTATATCAACTGTTATACCGTGCTACGAAAGAAGCACTTTATAATTGTGTATTTAATAGGATTCCTAATTATTAAAAAATAATTTAAATATATTTACTTGTTTACTTTACTAATCCTATTTTCAGTTTACAATTTAAATTAGAATGCTTTAATGAAAAATCACGTTTCGTATTACATTGGCAGCTCGGAAATCCACTTAGATAAAAGTTTAAAGTTTATTTTAAAGGAAAAAAAAGCAAACAGAAACGAGGATGCCGTACTTCGGTCAGTCGCTTTACTTAATCCTATACTTTGTTGTTACGTTTTGCTGTCTGAACACTTCTACTTACTTATTTACTTCCATTAGCAATCCTCACAACCTTATTTCAAAGGATTGTGTAAATGTGTTGTATTCCTTGACTTTGCTATTTCATTCAACTTATTGTATTTTAGTTGGCATTAAAATCTGATGGTATTGAATACGAATTGATTAATTAATTAGTACAATGAAGTAGAAACCGAAGTAATTAACCGTGGGTTTTTGAAACTAATATTTCTATGTAAAATATATCGTCATCCTTGTCATTATCTTTGAGTAAACATGGATTTTGTTCTCAGAAACCTACGGTAGATTTGATTTCCAGTTTAAACCTCTATAAACGTCTTATTTTAAATTTTATTATTAAAAGAACATTTAAAGCTTAATTTAAAAAGATGCTATCTTGTTGAAAAAAAATCATGAAGAAGATTTTCGACGTGCATATTGTAGAGTTTATGAATCCCCTCGGAGTTGTCGGTTGACCTGTTTTAGGTGCGTGCGATATTAGTTCGACATTCACATAAACCCATCCGAAGTAGGGCGTATCGACTTTAATTATGCAAATTGAAACAACCTTTGCATATTTGCTTTCAGTTTTCTTTTCATAAAGTATTTTTAAATACCACTTATCACTTTTATAGAACCGTGAAACGTTTGATTGAGTTGTTTACCTTTTTGATATGGATAAAGCTAAATTGAAAAAGCGATAGAATAAAAATATGGCAAATTGCGGTAGGTAATATAATTTTGTACTGTAGTTTTGCTTTATTTTATCAATAAAATCAACTCATACCGATGGGGAACTTCAATCGCGAGGATAAAGTTTGTAGACGTCAATAATTCGATTAAGAAAAGTAGAGACACGCCGCGTCAAAGTTCTATTTCCTCGATAGATTAAACTTATAGTAGACGTAGACGTCTACTAGACAGCCGGAGCGCAGTCTACGTCTATTTATTGGTGTCGTGTTAAGTCTACTTTCTTTTATTTTAGTTTCTTTAAACACCCCTTATCTTGATTTTTTCTTTTCAATTAATCATGCGAGTCATTACACATAATTGGTGGTTAACTCATAGGCCCTTTAGACATGGCAACGTAGTTTTTTAAATAAATATTGTATCACGAGTGTTGTATAGCGCGAGCTTCGTATACACAACGATGAATCGTCCACGCGAATTGTTTATTTGGTCAATACAGGAATATTGACTGACGCGTAGTTACGAATTGTCAACTGTATAGATGTGCTCCACCATCTTCAAAATCGTAACGACTTCTGTCACTTAACAAACAACGTTGCAAGCGACAGGCTTTGGCGATGACAGATAGAAATTTTAACGATACGTACTTGTGTGCTAACCGCTATTACATCGCATTGC